ATGGAGGGAGCCAGCACAGCATCAGGTTGAAGCACATCAATGGATTCTGGCATTAGATAGCTTAGGTGTGGAGCTTGACTCGGATATTTGTAGTAGCTCTGTGACATCACATAAATTAATCTGATGTCTCTAAGTTTCGGCTTCCTCATCTATAACATGGGTTGTCATTAAAGATTGAATGAGATAACATAAACAATATGCTCAGCATGGTGCCCTGCACAGAATAAGTGCTCAATGAATTAGCATGTGTCTGGGACAAAGAAGCAGAGAAGAAGAAAAAGAGAGACATTTAACACTTTCTGAAGTTGAAGAGACTATTTCTTAGTCACAGAGCAGCAAAAATAATTAACAGATCTCTTTACTAAAAGGTTAAAATTGTCTCCTTACATAGAATACTGTCTGATGTCAGCATTAATTAAAATGAGTCTCCCAGACTTTAAAAATTTCAGAAATAGCCCTTTCAGAAAAAAAGGAACACAAATAAATATAATAACTTTTTGAAAGTTTGTTAACTCAGGTAGCAAAATTATGGATTAAACTAGTAAAGCATCTTCTTGAGCTCCCTTTCTTCGTCTGCAGTTCTGGAAAAATTGAATATAATTCCAAATAGTTGAAATACATGATAAAAAGAAAGCTTCTTAAATGGCTTATTATAAATCAAGAACATGTTAAACAAAATTGCATGAGAAGTCAGAAGCAGAATAATGACTGTTTTTACCTAAAAAGAAGCAAAACTCTTTAGTAATACCTAATGTGCTTTCTGCAATTCAGCTTCAGTCCTCTAAGATGGTGATCAATTCAGCATCTAGTCTATCCAAATGAGGCTGCAGGAGAGGGGATGAACCATGAAGCCAGCAGAAAGGGAATTCTGAGGAATTGTATAATAGGATGAGTGAAGAATCACTGACCATAATATGATGAGGCACAAAAAAAGGCTGAATAGGGGCCGGCCTGGTGGCACAGCAGTTAAGTGAGCACGTTCCGCTTCTCGGCGGCCCGGGGTTCGCCGGTTTGGATCCCAGGTGCAGACATGGCACTGCTTGGCACGCCATGCTGTAGTAGGCATCCACATATAATGTGGAGGAAGGTGGGTATGGATGTTAGCTCAGGGTCAGGCTTCCTCAGCAAAAAAAAAGAGGAGGACTGGCAGTAGTTAGCTCAGGGCTAATCTTCCTCAAAAAAAAAAAAAAAAATTTAAAAAAAAAGGCTGAGTAGAGAAAGAAACACCAAAGTTAAGGTACTGAATACAATTAGGAGTATGCTAAGATCTTGCCTGTTTGCATCTCTTCATCCAGGACTGAGTCAGCGACATTTGAAAATCCCATTAATAAAGGTTCATTGCATGACCTGTGTGCCTCTTCTAAAAACTTGCTCCTTCTCCACGTTTTATTGTTACTGCAGACCTTGGTGTTGTTCTTGGCCTCCACCAAGGGTGGGGTGAATGGTTGTGAGGAGGGCTCTGAGTAATATTGGGAATCACCCTGGAGGAGCTGGGTGGGAAGACAAGGTGAAATTCCAGACCCTCTGTATTAATAACTTATCTTCTATACCATTAACAAGTTTTACAGTAACATCTACCATTTTGGAAAGACTGCCATAATTTAAACTGCCATTATTACTGGATAAATGATAAAACTGCATTACTACTCAAGTTTTTCATTCCAACACTTGGAGAAAAAGCAGTGGAAAATGTAATTTATTCAATAGTTTAACATCATTTGCCAACAGCCACATAGAACTATGTAACAATGTGTAAATATAAATTATTTTAAATTATATCTTAAATATATATTAAATTATATATTGTTTTATAATTTATGTAAGCCAAATTATCTGCTTTATTTCTTCCGTAAGTAAGACTGCAGCCAGAAAGTTAGAGCAGAAATGACACCAAGAACTTCATTGCTCTAGTTCTTCTACTTTTCTCAAGACACTATGGCAAAGGGGTTAAGAATACAGATTTTAATGTAAGATTGGACTGGATTGAGCCCCAGCTCTGCTACTTATTAACTTTTTAGCTGTCTGTCCTCAATCAACTTTCTACCCTGAGTTTTTCTGTTGGTAAAATAAGGATAATGATGACTACTGTACAGAGTTGTTGTAGAGATAAATTTGATACTGTGTGCAGTGTTTGCTACAATGGTTTCAGTTAATAAGTACTCAAAACATGTACTTATTATTCTGGAGTTCACCTTGACCCTCCTGAAAAAGTTATGTGTACAAGCTGTAGAACTCTAGTCCCTGTCATTTAGACCATATAGAAGGTCTTTTATCAGTTATTTCCTTTTATAAATAAAAGAACCAGAGTCTTGGAGGAAGAAGTTCCAATACCATTCAACCTTACTGGTATTGGCTGCTGGAGATAAAGCCAGGAAGCGAAGTGTTTGATTGCTTGTCTAACTTATACCTTTTTAAATTCTTCTATAATGGCCAAATAGGAGGTGATGAAGGTCATTTTAGAATGAACAGGTACATATGCTTAGAAGCAGCTTCAGAGTAGCTTTGGATATAAGAGGTTTTGGAGCAGTAGCACATCTTGTATATATAAGTGCATAGTCAAGGGATCAATCAAAATCTTCAACTTCTTTTGTTTTAAGGCAGTGTCCCTGGCAATGAAGGGAATGAGAATTCTTAGGAGTAGGATCCCTTAAAATACACACCTGGGATAAATGAGATAAAAGTGTTCTTCTAAGGTATTAATAAACATACTGCTCCATTGGTGACATGTGGAAGGTTCATTCTTTTAAGTAGATAGAACAATGTTCAAGAAGGCAAATGAAGTTCATGAAAGACTGTCTAAATTCCTGATGTCATAAGAGCCCAAACACTGTGTAAAATTCCACCAGAATTATAATTTATTTCTGTAAGGTTATATGGCATGGCCTGTATCTCAAATTAGGAGAGCATTTCTTTGCCTTAAGGAATCCTTCCTAGATGAACAATAGCACCCTCTAAAATACAATTATGGAGAGATGACTTCAGTGACTTGGCAAAACTTCAAAAGAATAATACAAGGCAATTTGAAAATAATGTGATTATTATTTTTCCTTAAAAAATATCTTCTCCTTGTCTCACAATAAACTAGTTCCTCTTGTCTCCTCCCCCACTCCTCAGTAAATAAGTTAGAACTCCATCTCAGATTAAAAGAAGTTAAATAGAAGGAAAGAAAGATAAGAAATGACTAAATGGAAGTGAGTGGGTCTACCAAAGTGAAATGTGGCTGAGTAGAAGAGAACTAGCAAAGGGAAAGACACTATTGGAATAACCTCAAATCGCAAATTTTTAAATTCAAACTCTAGTTACCTTTTTTTTCTTCTTCTTCTTCTCCCCAAAGCCCCCCGGTGCATAGTTATATATTCTAGTTGTGAGTGCCTCTGGTTGTGCTATGTGGGAGGCCGCCTCACCATGTTCGTGCCCAGGATCCAAACCGACAAAACCCTGGGCCGCCCAAGTGGAGTGTGGGAACTTAACCACTTGGCCATGGGGCCAGCCCCTACTTAACTTTTAAAATCTTTAAATTTTGAGGCTGCTGTCAAGAGACTAAACCAACCAAGGGTTGAACTTGTTTTATGTGGTAATACAATTGCTGCTCTAGACTTTCAATAAGTCTGGTAGGGCATTCCAGATTAACTAAATTTAAACTATTTAAATTTTGCTCACAGGAAGCACAAATATTTCAGCATAATTTATACATTTCTAATATTGTAGTTCACAAATTGTGTGTGAGGTTCCTTGGAGCACCACAGTACACTCACCAGGGTGCTTTGAAATATCTTAAATTTCAAGGGAAACAGTGATACCTGGCATCTGTCAGGTACCACTGAACTACTAGCTGGAGGTAGTTCACAGTTTTAAGATTACACTTGACTCTGTTCCTTTAGATGACATCATATCTTTACAAAGCTGGGCAGCACGAAAATCAGTGTGGAACAGGAAATGAGGGTGGTGTTGTGCCATCTGATTCCAAGGCTTGGGAAGTTCCCATTAGTAAGTTATTTACTAAGAATGACACACATACACACACACACACACACACATATTTTGTGTATATATAAATATGTGTGTATATATATACACAGATATAATACATACTGTATGTATTTTTTATGATTCATATGTATTATTTTTTTAACTGGCTTCTAAGTTTTTAGGACATAAGTAGTTAAGATATTTGGAACTAACGACTTTATAAACAGAACTGTCAGGTTTTGTGTTTGTTTTTTTTTGTCCTGGGGCACCAGGAAAAGAATTACTGAGACACTAGGGTACCAAGATCTGAAAAAGTTTGGAAGTTTCTGTTCTAACATTTGTATGAATGTATAAATAGATGTCAATATCAGAAATAAATGATGCTTTGTGCAGTTGATTTTCCACATGTAGAATAGGTAATGCTGGGAAAGATATGGTTCTAGGAGATTGTATTTACATATGTGATTCAGAGCTGAAGCTAACCCTCAGGAAGCAATCCAGATATCCACTGATTTAAAAAAAGAGTCCCTAAATATAGATAAGCTTCAGAGGAAAGGAGCTAGGTACAGAATATTTTTTTTTCCTAGTCTCTATTTAGATTCTACCTGTTATACTATGAGGACTCCTCAGGCCGAATATACTTTTCTTACCAATCCTTAATACATTTTTAGATACCAACTCTGTAGAACTAGTCTATTTATATAAAGCAAAGGTATGTATTTTTTATTTTTAAGATCCTTCAGTTGCATAAAAATTAAGCTCTTGTATCACTTTCATTTTCGTAAGTAATATAGTGCTTTGTAGCACATCAGAGAGTCAGCTACTAGATATTGTCAAAGTATTTTAGCCTTATATTTTATTGATCAGCATTTATAGATTGCATTGTTCCATACTTCTCTTTCATGGCTTATCCTGACTCTGAACCATGCTCCTTTAGGTAATTTCTTGGTACAAGAGCAGCTGAATTGCCCATTTAAACTTAAACTTTAATCAGAAGATCCATAACTACTAAGAGGCTATTGCTGCATTACCATGCTTGTTGATCTGACATAGACGTTGTTTTTCAGATGGCAGTTTCCGTCATTTGGCACCACGATGCCTGCCAATTTGCTATCAAGAGCAAGATGAGATGTCTGATCTGTCATCACCAGCAGCAATCTTTTAGCTTCTTTTCGCCATCCAATATGACTCTTAAAATAAAGATGTAATTAGCCCTTGTACAATAACATAGATCTGTACTGTGGTCTTTATCTCAAGTAAACATTAAGTTCGAGTTAACAAGCATTGTTAGGCTAGAATGATGTGCCCAAACACAATGCTGTCTCATAAATAGCGTTAACTTTTATTTGTATATCCTCTATTTTAACAAAGTCATTTGACCACACTAGCTCCTGGCTAGAGACTTCTAATGTTCCCCTAGAAGAAGAACAAGCCAGGTTTGTGAAGTTCGTGATGGGAGTAGGTTAACAGGCTATTTCTGGTTCTTCCTTAGAAAGTAGTGAGGAAAACAGCGGCCCTTTTGGAAAGGGTTTTCCAAGTGAATAAGTTATTTTTTCCCTTTTATCTTTTCCTATTTATAATCCTCTCCCAATTTAGTCCCCCTGTCTTGAACACATACCAAAATGAATAACTTTGGTGACGAATAAGAGATAGGAGAAGAGTGTATCCTTCTATGCTATGTTTTCACTCCATAAATCAAAGAGAAAATAAAAATCCTAAATTCTTGGAGGATTTTGCATCTGAACAAACACTCAATAATGTGAAACTTCTTACCTCACAGACAGCTGCCTGAAGCATGGCATCAAAACCTCCTTCAGGCGTATCTATATTTCCAGAGATCTTCTGTCTGTGTACTGCTTTTTCAAACTCAGTGATGTTCTCCGTCAAAGACAGCACATGGATGTATCCATGGGGAGGCATACAGTCTAAATTGTAGTCACTATATGAGAAAAGAAGAAATGTAAATTCTATTTTGCTGTCCTTCCTTCAAAGATCCAAAATACTATTCACAGTAAAATTGTCTGGTTGGTGTGAGAAGGGAATACTTTTTTTTTTTTTGCCAAGGAAATTTTGTTAGAGAGAATCTGTACTTTATAAAATCAGAGAAAAGTTCAATATTGGCAACTATTTCTTTGCAAGTAGGAAATAGGAATATAATGGTTTGGTGTTCAAAAAATAAAGAAGATTAAACATATTTCTTTAATATAGAACACCTAAGGGCTTTTATTATGTTAATATGCACTGTTAAATTTTAAGGGGAGATAAGAACTTGCAGTGATTTCCAATCACATTTGACCACAGGACAGCTGAAAAACACTTTTTGGGAAATGGTTTTAGGAATTTAGTTAAAATACTATACTATTGTTATATATTTTAAAATGTGCTGATTTTTTAAGAGATGTTTGGTGTGGAATTATTGATGAACAATCAAAATTCATTAAAATTGTTTTGAGAATTCCATGATGTCCCAAAAAATCGTACTCATTCCTCAGGTCCATCCACATTCAGGGAGAAAGCACATGAAGCTCCATGAGGAGATGTGTCACTCCTGTTCCTCTACAACAGATAGCAGAGTTATCTTGCTAAATGAGAGTGTGTACTGTAAAATGATCTGAGCAATTTATGGAATTGGGAATGAAGATGTTAAAATGAAATGTTTTATTAAGGAAGAACTGAACATCTATTTCTCTCTGAAAATTCAACAGCCCAATTAGAATATTGTACGAGAAACTTGTATCTTTAAGGTCAGTTCTCATTTTATAGTGGGGCATATGCTATTTAGAATCAGACTTCCAAAATGATGAGAAAAAGGGCTCTTTCTAGCAGGCAAATTCTCATCTTCTGACCTACCCTCCATGTGCTAGCTGAGCTTTCTTTGAAGTCACATCATAAGCAACATGATTACAAACATAGTCACAATAGATTAATGGAAGGATAGATGCAGTACTGGCAACATAAGTACTTTAAACTTGATAAACTTGATTCAGTAAATTTGGAAAGATCAAAAGGAGAAATACAGAATTTTCAAAGAGATATTTATATACATGGTAGCCTGGTTATTGAAGGTTCATTCAAAATTATTAATATTGTTTGTGGGTTTTTTGTGATAAAAACTAATTGAATGCTATTTGAAAAAATAAAAAGTCCAAGCTACAGATAATCTCAGAAGTTTTCAGACAGGAATATACCTCCTCTCCCAGCATTTTCATTTCTCATTTAATAAAACAAAAATGTAAAATTTAGTGAGTCCTTTATATAAAAACAAAATGAGATTTTATAAGGAAAAAATTTATTTAGCATTCTGAAATCCACATTGAACACTAGATACCTGCATTGATTATGAATCCTTTCTGGGTGGATGCTAATGTATGGTGAAACTGTTTTATCAACATATGAGCCAAATCCAAGGCGGAAGTCACGGGAGAAAAATGCCATTTTTCTAGATAAATCATTTCCAACGGAATTTAATTTTTCAATATTATTGTGCATTGATGCTGAGACGTCAACTAGATAATAAAGATCCACAGGATATTGCTTCAGAGGATGAATTTTCAGCATAAAATTAGCTTTAGCTCCTAGTTCAAAGAAAGACAAATATATGTAGTATTCATTTTAAACATCTCAGGATAAGCTGTCAAGAAAAATCAGTCACATTTTAGATATAGAACAATTATAAAAAATTTGTGCATAATAAATGCAGTTATGGATATTCTGAAATAATTTTAAGGCAATTTGAAAACCATACCAATTTATTAGTCTGCAACTTCTACAATGCAGTTCTCACAATTCTATAGGGCAGACAGAGATAATAACAAATGGGCCAGCACAATGTAAATGTAATAGGGAATATATTGTCACCATATGAAACTTTATTTCTAGTATCTAGAAAAACACAGCGCAAAATAGCAAGCAGCATTCTATCTCAAGACAGAGTAGGTGGCTGTGTTTATTTGTAGGTGGCTTTCAGGTTTGAAGAAAACCAGAAAAGCATCTTAAGAAAAATTACCCCTTACTGGATGCCAATATAAATTCACTCTTTTGGGTTAAGGCATATTTGCATATGAGATGTGAAAACTCTGGTACTGAGAAGTACATTAAGCTACTCAAAATATTTAGTACTTCATCATGAATTATTTGGTAAGATTCTTCCCAAGAGTTAGTTGTAAGAAGGAATGAGACAGTGGTCTAAAGAATGGTACCTAGCAGTGCCACATTGTGGACCTGGGCAATGTGGGAGACAGCATTTGTCCAATGCATAGTGGGTGCCTGATACACATATGTTGAAGAGGGATCACGGAGGCAAAGGAACTGGATGAGAAGAGAGGGTCATCACAAGGAGAACTGTGGGAGCCTCCCAAGGACAATGGTCTGCAATACAGTTCTATTTAGTTCTCTGTCCATTATCATTTGATACAAGGATCTGTATCCCTGCATACAAAAATATGGCACCCTACAGAGTTGGTAGCTCCCTAGTTAATTTTTTAAAGTATATGGTGAAAAGAAAGCCAACAATTTAAATACAGGCAATTTGTGAATTTTACTTTTTTAAACAATTTTAAAATTTTACTTTTGTAAGCATTAACTGTTTGTCCACAGAGAATATTTTGAGTGGAAAAATTTTTTTAATAAACACCAATTTGTAAACATAATTGGTAGTCTGATCTACTTATTTAAGGAATCCTCTAATTTATTCATCTCTGCTTTTTGAGTATCTGGTGAAAAACCTTGCACACATAGAAGTGTCCTGTAAATTGGGGTAGAGAAGTGCAATTCAAGAGAATGATATAATCAGATAGATAAGGCTGGGTTGATGAGAAATAGAAATGGAGCACAACTAGCGAGGATGGTTCATGTGGACGAGCTTGAACTTTAATGTGTGGGTCAGCATTTAAAAATTTTTTTACAAATTGTGTAATTGTCTTTTAACTGTCGACTTGGGCATATGGCTAAAGGCCTTAGGTACTGGCCACATGGTATTTTCATCTTGGTGGATCGTTGTAGTTTATGGTGGTTCTGTCTAAAGATGAATGGCTATCTGCTTTTATAGAGACATTGCAAAATGCACCAGATATTCAGCATATTGTTCAGGTTGTTATATTGTTGGTTGGTTATTTCAGTCAACAAGCAGAGTTTGTGTTGCATCAACAAAAACACAGTCCTTGGAGGCCTGAGCTATTCAGGGAGGTCCAACCAAATGATAGCCACACAGGAGCTTTCAGCATGCACCTGCTGCTCATGACTTAGCAAGCAAATCCTGGTCTCACTGGCCTCAGCAGAGAAAGATGTGTAAGGAAACTTTGCCAAATGGTCATAGTTGGAGGGTATAGGCTGCTGTAACTTGATTTTGGATTATGTAGATGCTGGCATTAGCACATGTATCTGGGTCAGTTGAAGACAGTATGGGCTGACACTTCAGTAAGACAAGTTTTCAATAGAGGAGAAAAGAGAATCTTTCCATACACAGGCCTTTTAGTCATTGCTGGAGAGAATGATAATTGCTACTTTTAAACTGCAAGGCAATTATGTTTCCTGCAAGGTTCTAGCTTTAAGTAGTTAGCTCAAAGTAAGCAGCCCTAAATAGGCTCACCCAAACCCCACTCTGCTTGTTAAGGAGGAAAATGAATGGGCCAAGCTTAGATTACCATGTTTTGCCCATGAGCTTGAGACAATCCCCACAATATGCTCTCAAATTGGCTTTGAATTGGATAATTATATGTGAGGGAGAGACCTTCTCTTGGAGGCAGTAGAAATACCTTTTCATGGAACATGGATACTCTATCCCTAGATAAAATCCCCATTCAGTTCATATTGGGGTGCTACCAACACAGGGCTCAAAGGGCAGATGACATTAAAGGCTTTGAACATATTGAATGAAAAAGAAATATCTAAAAATAAGACAATATCTGTGGCTGTCACCATTGTAAGGTTATCAATGCATGCAGCAGCATCTTAAATGCTACTCAGAGGGGGGCTATGCAGAGATAGATTCTTTTAGTGGCTAAGAACTACTAAGTCAGGTAATCTATGTAAAATATTTACCATGGTGTTTGGTACACAGTAAATATGCAGATGTTAGTAATTATTACCATTACTATTACTAGATTCTAAGTAACATTAGGGTAAGAACTGTTTGTTCATCTCTGAAGCCTCTGGGTTTGGTACATGCATAGCCACTCATAAATGTTCTTTAACTAAATCATATTTGAAGCATTTTTTGATACAGCATTTCAAAATGCTCACATATTTATCACAATAAGAAGCTAATATCTATGCGTTCTTTCCCACAGTTTAGGGAGAGCTTAAATAGTTTCTCTCTTTAAGAGGAAAAGAGTATCATCTGGCCCCAAAATATTTATGCCACCACTTATGTTATCTCCAGGAAAGCTTCATCCTCATACCTTTTGAGATTCTGAAGGCTGAGATCCTTATTCCTGTCAAGTAACTTTGAAGGGAAGAAGTGAGTCTGTGACATAGAATAAGAAAGAAGACTTGGAGGAAAGTTGAGACCTACTTAGAGCTATTGCCAGTATTGGTTTGAATAGCTCAAAGAATAAAAGTTGTTAGAATGAGTTTTAAATCACTCAAATAATGGTGTGAGTATCTCTGAAGAACTGGCTGCAGCAAACATGACTAGACATTAAGAAAAGATAGCTAAAAGTTCTGAATAAGATGAGGCTGAAAAACCATAAGAAAATATGGAAAACTGTGGCAGGAAGAAAGAGCAGCCAATTTCTATTCATTAGATTTGGGCAAGGGGAGGAGAAGGCCGAAGAATGAGACTGGTTTGAAACAGCAAGGTACAGACTCCAGCACATTTCCGAATTTCTGCGGGGGCTAAAAAGGGGAATATTTACCAGGGGGTGAAGGGAAAATATGCATGATTTCTATATTTTTATGTTTTTTGAAAAAAAGTTTTAATTTAGGAAGAATACCTGAAAAATCTTACATTTTAAATTAAGCTACACTAAATTAAAGGCTTTTTTTCTTTACAATATTAAAATGAATCAAGTTTGAAACATTTTCTTGAATTAGTGAAGTATAGATTATACTAAGAAATTATCATATGTATTGTATTACTTCTGAAGCAGAATTAAAGAGTTCCTTTCTGTCTCCTACCTTCCTGAAGATTTCACTTCAATGTTCTTAAGGAACACAAACTAGGATCAGTAGCCTATTTCTGTTATTACTTTCCCATAAAATTGATAGGCAAAAATAATAAAAAAAAGTATAGCTTAAGAAGTGAAAAGTAAAAGAAAATATCATTTTTAAATCTCATTTTAAAGATCCAGTTATATATACTTTACATAGTCCTACTATTATTCTTTTAAAAATTTAGTTGGCTCACAACTAGAAGGACCTGCAACTAAGATATACAACTATGTACAGGGAGGGTTTGGGGAGATAAAGCAGAAAAAAAAAAAAAAAAAGATTGGCAACAGTTGTTAGCCCAGGTGCCAATCTTTAAAAAAAAATAAAAATAAAAATAAAAATTTAGTTGGTATATGATATAATAGAAATATCCATGAAAAATTTAAAAAACTTGATAGATGCTACATTGAAGTTCATGAATTTTTATCAGATAAGAATAAAGTGATTATCTCTAAATAAATCAAATAAATAAAATTCAATATTAGGGGATAAATGCATTTTACACTTAGGTATGCATTATATTAAACCCTTGACTCTTATGTGTGTCATGATGGAAAGGACTTTTCCATCATGAGGAGTGATGTTTCTAAATACCTGGTGTTGGTAAAATTATAGCTTTATATACTATGATTCAAAGCTGGCATAGGAAAGCTTAGGAAACATGTTCCAGCTTGCTAGTACTAGGAAAGAGGCAAAAGAAAACAGCTAATGGACTGGTTACACTTAAACTGAAGAGATTAAAAAGAATGAGAACAGGCAAGGTTGATTCATGAAAGCCTTAACTGGACATCATTTTTTCTTGTGAATAATCTGATAATATACATTAAAAACTGAAATAAATTTACATATATTTGACCTAGTAAATCTATTTCTAGGAATGTATCCCAAATAAATATGCTATTATATACAAAGATACATGCATAATGAGTATCACTGAAGATTTGTTTTAAAAAACTGTATTCAGATTTGATTGGGATTGTCTTACATTTATTGATTCATTTGGATTTTGTTTCATTTATAAAATATGTTTATAGAAAACTCTCATTGTTATAATATTGTCTTCCTATTCAGGAACATAAAATCCTTCTGCATTTATTCATATCTTCTTTTAGGTAGCACAATGGCTTCTACACATTTTTTAAACAGTTTATCCCTAAACAGTTTACTTTTTAGGTCGCTGCTGTAAATTGATCCCCATTTTTCATTATACTTAATGCTACATGGGAAATTCATTGATTTTTGAATATTTTTAAAAAACAACCTGCCACATTTTTTATTTTTAATTTTAATAGTTTTAGTTGATTTGCTTGGATTTTCAAGGTAGACATATAATGATAATTTTGCTTTATCTCTTCAAAATGTTTATAATTGTATTCCGTTTTCTTGTCTAATTGCCTTTATGTAAAACTTCCAGAAGGATTTTAACATCTATTAAGGAAATACTCTTCAATTTTGATTTTGGCAGGAATGAACACTAAATTTTATTGTATGATTTTTCAGCTTCTATTGAGATAACAGTACATTTTTTCTCCTTTTGGCAAACTGAGATAATAAAAATATATTTATTTCAAAATAATCAACTACCCTGGGTTTTCTAGGTTAAATCTACTTGTATGGTGCTATTGTTCTTATTATCACATACAGTTTAATTTGATTTCCTAAAATGCTATTAAGGGTTTGATACTAGGGTTATGCTAAAAAATTGAATAGCTTCTAGGCCTTCTCTAAAACTATGGAAGAGTTTACTTAGCACTGGGATAATGTGTTCCTTGAATGTTTGGGTGAACATGAAATCATTTCTCATGAAAACATTTAGACCTAATGTCTTTAGGGAGCGTTTCTTTTACAATTTTCTTAACTTATATCTTTATTAGATTCCTTAGGGTTCTACCTCTTCTTGAGTCAATTTGTCATAAGTAGTTTCCTAGAAAATCATCTACATTATCAAGATTTATACATTTACTATAGATTTTTGTGCTTACTATTTTCTTAGTCTTTTTTTCCAGTATATGTTTCTCTGAGTATAGTCTACATAATTAGGTTATTTGCTTTTGTCCTCTTTGCTTAATTAGCTTTGCCAACAATTTATCTGATTTTTTGGGCTTTGCAAAGAACCAGCTCTTGGCTTTATACATTCATTTTACTTTTTTATTTCTCTTTCGCATTTCATTAATTCTGTTTGTTTCTTAACTTATAAATTCCTTCCTCTTGTTTTTCTTATGGTTATTTTGTTTTTGTTGTTTCTATATCGTTATTTGTATTCTTAGGTAATTTTTGTTCATTCTTCTTTAATAATAAAAGTATTTAAAGTTTTTAATTTTTCTAAGAGCAACTTCAGTCATATATCCCATATACTTTGATGTGAGTTGTTATTGTTGTTATTAAATACTCTATGACTAGAGTTTTGATTTATTCTTGAAGATAAAGTTTATTTAAGAGAAGCTTCTCTGAGTTTCTCTGTTATTTAATATTTGTTTATCCTCTTGTACTGACTTCAAATTTTATTGCACAGTGCTCAGAGTTGGCCTATAAAAATAGTTTCACTTTTTGGAAGTCAGTTTTCTTGAGTAAAATATGATTAATTTGTAAAAATATTCCATGGCCTTTAAAAATATTATTTTATATATCAAGTGCTATGAACTGAATTGTGTCCCCCCCAAATTTATATGTTGAAGCTGTAACCTACAAAGTAATGGTGTTTGGAGATGGGGGTCTTTGGGAGATTATTAGGTTTTTAGATGAGGTCATGAGGGTGGGACCCTCACGATGGGATTAGTGCCCTTCTAAGAAGAAACACCAGAGAGCTCTTTCTCTCTCTCGCTCTCTTTCTCTGTCACTCTCTCTCCCTCTCTAGTAACTGAATCCAAATCAGCCAGGACCTTGATCTTAGATTTCACAGCATTAATTTCTGTTGTTTAAGCCACCTAGTGTATGGTATTTTGTTACGGCAGTAATAGAAGGAAGAAAGCACCATAATCTTACCAACCTAATTACTTTCATTTTTATGTATCTCTTTCCAGCTGTTGCTAATACATGTCCATTCTGGGATGTATATTTATTTAAATGGTGAAGAGCACAGTTTTAATTGGAAGGTGGGAGTATGCCTAAGGCCAAGAAAGAAACAGACTTTGTTTTTCTGGTAACCCAAGAGTCTGGAAGAAAGAGCTCAGCTTTGGAATAGGGAGGTCATGTGTCAATAATGGTTATTAAAAAACTTAATGACAGGACAAGACCACCCAGAATGAAATAATGAAGGCTTGAAGGCAATTGCATACTACTTAAAACGAAATGCTTCTAATTGAGTGATGCATACCTGTGTGCCTGAACTTATCTGGCCATATGTAGTTTGTACACTGGGATTCTCTAGCACTGGAAGAAAATGAATTATTTCCAGTGGCCTACTACATATAGCATATAGTGCCAAACTGTGGAATACAATGTGATGGAAAGGCAAGTACAAGAGAAGCATAGGAGGAAAAGTGTGTATTGATCTCAGGGGCCATCACAAAGCAGCTCAAGTTAATTATGACAATTATGAATTGTAGTTTTCTGTTTAAAAGTTTGTCACAAAGGCTCTGAGGACTTAGCTTAAGCTAATTCACATCTCTTACTAATTAGTTAATCAACCAATAAATTCAGCGAATACTTATGAAGTGTTTACTACATGCCAGGACTCTGCTAGGCATTGGAGAAACAGAGTGGAATAAAACATATTCTCTTTCTTCCAGAGCTGGCAGTGGAGTGGGAACACAATTGCACTACAATGTGATCAAGTCTGAAAACACATAATTATAATATACTGTGGTCAGATTTGCAAAGAGTGCCTGAGGCCACTGTTAGCTGTAGGCACAATAAAGACTAGAATTCTGATTTCTTGATTCTGAGCCCACTGTTATTTCCACTACACCAATACTGCCCGCCACAAAATATTAAGCAAATAAAACTAAATGTAATTTCAAATTAAGAATCATCATAGATTTATTTGAAAATAACCAAACCTGGACGCAGCTGGATCGACACTTCTCCTGGTGTTACCTGGGTATTAATTTCATTTTCACTTGGCATTACATGTACAGATGGGTATTCTATCGAATCAATCAAGCAGCCTTTGCTTATTAAATTGGAAACAATATCACAACGTACACTCCTTGATCCACCTGAAATGAAATCCTGTTTAAAAGAAGGAAAATCACTCATGTTTTTAGTGCATATCATCTCAATTATAACCAAAGAAAACCACATAACAAATATTGCAAAGAAGCCATCTTCCAATATTGCACAAATTATGCAACTATTCAGAATAGCTGCATGTTTCCAGAAAGAGTACTGGCAAATTTGTCTTAAATAAAGCTTTAACTTCTAAATCTATTTAAAAAGATTTAAAAAGTACTTTAATTTAAAAAGTACTTTAAATACTGTTAACTGATCACTGTAAAATTATGCCACCTTAATTCTTTCTAAACATTTTACTTTGGAAAGATTGCTCCAAAAGAAAATTAGCCAAAATAGACCCTTCAGTGGTTCCAAATGTAAGCCTCAGTTCTCAAAGAACCCAACTGGTATGTTTATTATGTACTATTATGTTTGGAATATGAGAGCAAGTCCTCAGAAATCACATGCCTAATTAGGTACTGAAACTTCATAAAAGAATGAATTGGAAATCTGCATTTCGTAGACTATGAAATCCTCCAACTTCTTATACACACAAACAGCCTTTAAGTAATTCAGTAAACCAAAGAAGTTGCTCATATGAGGCTGGGCGATGTAAGATTGCAGCTCAAATTCTCCTGATTTTGCAACTGAATCTAGAACTTTCATAACTATTCAGCATTGGGTAGTTGATGGTTATCCAATAGTCATCCAATAAACTTGGAATTAATGGAGCAAGCTTAAAATTTAATTTATCTTGACTGAGAAAAAACTGATATTTTTATTTTTCATGTAACCATTCAGGTTTTTTCCTAAGAACAGGAAATATATTGAAAAGTATAGAAATATATTTTATTATATATAATGTTGGCCTGAAGTATTTGGGATATTTGCTTACACATTTGCTGGATATTTGCTCAGTGATCTTCCTGGCAGTGGCTATTTTGATCTGGTATTCAGTCATTCCTCTAGTTCAGCTGGTTCTAAGAATTGGGTTTCCAATCAATTAATGATTCAGTCAAAGAATGTTGATTGAATACTTACTCAGGGACAGTTATTTGTTAGGTGCTGAGGATACAGAATGGAACAAGACAGATGGAGTCCTGGTCATCAAAGAGTCAACAGACCATCAGAGAATTCAGCCATTAAGCAAGTAAATGTAATTATCATGGGCCTTAAATTTAGGGGAAGCACAGAATGTCATAGGGTTATGGAAGAAAGGAGATTATCAAGTTTAATATTAGTTGGAAAAGAGACCACTAATTATGAACAGGGACACCCCTGGCGCTGGTGAGTGAGTAATTAGATGGGATGATGGTGGTAGGCAATATAAAAATATTCATACAGGATTTTAATTTAATTCCTCTCTCTATTTAGAACAAGGGTTGGAAAACTAGGGACAGTGGGACAGATACAACCCATGGCCTGTTTATGTATGGCTTGAATGCTAAAAATTGCTTTTTACATTTTTAAAATGCTATAAAACAACAAAAAAGAAGAATGTGCAACAGACAGTATATGGCCCACAAAACCTAAAAAATTTTACTGTGTGACCCATTACAGTATATGATCCAGAATTACAAGTGCGGAGTACATTTGTAACATAAATATAATTAAAAGACAAAAGAGAATATGTCCTTCTCAATCAAGATTTCAAGGAATCATTTGTAAATGACTTCATGGGAATAGAAAAATTCAATTTGCTTTGCTGTTGCCCATACACATAGATTTTAGCCTGAAGGTTAAAATGTTCAAAGCTTTAATTTCTTATATCCAAATTTGTCCTATCTATTGACAAAACTTAGAGGTACTGAATGTGAGATTTAGTTTATAAACAACTTGGAGTTCCTCAGAGAAAGGTGGTATATACTGCTATTGTACGTGTCACTTTCCTTCAGCAAGCCTCAGGCTAGAGGCGGGGAATCCCACCTATCCTGGAGGAGCCTGGGGAATATGAGGATGCATGAGGCTTGGTATGTGTCTGCTCATTTATGTCTCACGTGACAGACCACAGACCAAGAGCCACAGGTGTTTTACAGATGTAAAAACCCCAAGCCTTCAAATCAGGAAAGGAAATAAAGTACACGTAACTTTGATTTTTCTTTTCAGCCAGGGATTTTGGGATTTTGTTATTTTTGTATACAGAATGGAAAAGAAGGGAGTGTGGTTAATCCACTGCAACTATACATTAAGCAATGCCACTTGACCTTTAAATGTCAGATCATTTTGCTGAAATAGACAAAATAGCCTCAATTATTTTGCAATGTCTGAATCAGCATGGCTGTTTTTACTCCACTATGAAAACTAAGTTAGGAAAACATTGCCAATTTGACAATTAGGTTTGAAAAGGGAAGAAAAGACCATGGCATCAAAATAAAGAATGGAATGCTGCCCCTACCCACTGTGGCCTACTTTACACTTTGTATAAAAGAAAATAATTTGAAACCACACCCTTTTCATTCTTAGTGTTTTGTGTCATTTAAATTTCTTCTAATTCTTATGTTTTACTTTTTCTTCAAGAAATACTCAAGCAAACTCATACTCCAACTGTCTGCATCTAAAACCTATTTGAGACTGAAAAGCCCAAGTTGAAATTACTCTGGTTGGCTTTTCATAAGTTGTTACTTTCACCCATTTAATGAAAAATCTGGGTATATAAATAAGAAAAGTTTTTTTTCCTACTCATTTCTGAGTCCTTCTGACTTCCAGACATCGCAATCTTCACAGAAATGAAAGAATCCTATCATCTTCCTTTTGACAGTAAGTGCTCTTCATATCATACTTTAGTATAATTATACTCCGAGGCTGCCCTCTAAACTTCTGGCTATGTAGTCACAACCTGTATCTGACACATCAGGCAGGAGAGGAAGAGAAGTCTTCAAAACTTGTCAAGTCTTTCGCATATGTTAAAAAGGAATATGAGACATTAAACTAGGTAATATTGATAAGATTCTGACTATTCTAAATATTTTCCAATTACTTTTATGTAGCACAGACAGAAAGAGAAGGCAAAATATATAGAATGGCAGATTAACGTGCTACACAAGAATGTAGGTAAACTGAGTATACCCTGTGTAAATTTTTCAGTGATCCTTTACTGTTGACCAGCTTTAAAAATTATACAAACCAGGCTTAATTTGTTACTGTTTATCTCTTCTAGTCATGAACAGAGAAAAACCGCATCTTTCTTCCTTGTCCCTCCACCCTTACTGGTTGAGAAATAAAAGACATCAGTTGCATGTGCCAAAATGGTGGGCGATCTTTCAAAATTAATCTACATTCTTCCTGTCAATGAAGTCAGGTCAGCCTGTTGGGAGTGGACAGCTCCTTCTGTTAATGATATGACTAGTGGCTGAGTCCTAACACTGGTGGTTCCCCGAAGTTGTGTTTGTAACACAGGCAATACTCTGTTTCCTAAGCCTGGGTGAATTGCTCTAGAGTCTTACTGAATTTCTTGTAGTAATGACTCTCATTTCTTAAGCAATGCCTGTGTGCCACATGCTTCCCAAAGCCTGTTTCATTTAATCTTCACAACAGTGTGTCATGGGTACAGTTATTGTTTCCATTTTAAAGCCCGGGAAAACTGAGGTTCAGACTGGGTTGGTTAACATGTCCAAGTTTATACAGTTAGAAACTGATGGGACTAAAATCTGAATCCAAGTTTATCTCATTTCAGAGCCTGCTTTTTCAACACATAAATTAGACCAGCCAGCACTACATAGAATATTTTTGGGACATGAACAACTGAGTCATTTCTGAGTGTTTTCTGAGATCCCCTTTTGAGGATCTGACTAACAGCAGACATAGGTTTGCCTTCTCTGCTCTGGCAGCCACCCCACCTTTCCCGCTTGGTTTACCTCCCTCCATTTAACCACCCATTCCTCTGAATACTCAAAATCCCTCCTTCCTCCAGGAGGACTGACATTGCAACACCCATAACTGTGACTCTCCAGATTTTTCATGCCAGGAGAGTGTGAGATGGAGAAGGGGTCCCTCTGGAACCTAAAATTCTATATGGCCGGCATGTTGCATTTAGCTGACAACTGGTTTTCTGAACCACCTTTTGAAAGTTCCTCCTGACTACACTCACTAACATTCTCAGGCAGCTGATGTTAAGTTGGCACAAACTTTACCACTCTAAGGATATTTCTTAGTGATGCAGGAAAAAAGTAAAGGAAGTATTGAGTTAGGATCAGGAAATATCAAGCCATGAAGCCTTCTTGACAGAGAAAAACCTGGAAGTAAATTCCAAACTCAGTTTATAGAGATGAAGAAAGGGACACTCAGAGAATAGAGTGAATTCTGTCTAGTCACTTGGCTCATAGGAAGTGATGAAATTGGTCCTAGAAACTATGGAATTGTCCTTTCTGGCTCCGTGGGTTCTGGTGAAGCACTGCTTAATTTTGAGTGACATCTGATTTTCTCACTGGTAAAGCCCAGAGCATATCCAGGAAGCCTTCAGGCTGTCAGTAGGAGGGATGCTTACTTCCAGGCACAGCTACTGTTTCATGAACCCCTCCCCTGCTGCTTTTCTGACTTGCTTCATAGAAGAAAGTAATGTCCACCATCCTTTACTACTTTTCAGCTTTCTTTTTCCTCCTGAGGGATGCATAAGGGCAAGCAGTAACAGGAGAGGTTCGAAAGATGATGGTAAGTGCAGTTTTTGAGCTAAATCAGAGGAAGCAAAAGCTAGAGATTTCTCTTCATGTCAAGCAAAAGACTGTTAAAGATCTATTTATTCCAATTCCCAAGAGCTACATAAATAAATGTAAAATTACCTAGACAATTTCATAAAAGAACTTCCAAATTAGCAGATGGCTTCTTCACTGCAACTTATTATATAAAGTAGTTCTGATTGAAGATTACGAACAAAAGAAAAAACTCACAAAACAACTTTAGAGACAAGAAGGAAGGAATGCATTATACTTGCTTTACTAAAAATTTGTTATTGGGATATGTTTCTCTTAGAATATAAAAACAAGAAACATTTCTGAACTATTCTCCATCCCACGCAATTTAAATGTACACAGTATTGCATGAAGAGAGTCACATGTCAAAAGAAAACCATCCCATTTTCCTTAAGTAACTAACAAATTGATGTACAATGTTATGAAATGGAGTAAATCACTTATCTGCAAGTATTTCAAATAAAAACAGATGAAATGGACCAGTAAATTAGCTTGCTTTTCATTAATAAGCAAGTATAAGACAATGATCCAACTTGGATATAACCTAATGCCCCAAGCTGCAGCAAGAATTTCACGCGAAGCCTACTGACCTATCAAAAATTACTATCTGTGTTTGCCAATTCTCTCTATAGAACAGATGGAAAACATAAAATGGTTTGCACTTCATTGCAAAATTACCATAATTTTCCTAATAAAAAGGTTATATTTTATTTTATATTCAGCCACATATGCTGTTTCCAAGCATAAAACCAAATAAAATTTTCCTGATGCTCAGCAATATCTTTCTTTTTCCTGATGTACCTTCAAGGCATAGAATATTAGGGCAATGAAATCATTCTAGAGAGAAGGTCAACTGTTAGGAAACGAGAAAAGAGCAAAAAAAGAAAGAAAAAAAGACACACCTCTTGTGCACACCATCCACATTCCGGACCCAGCGCAAGGCACTTGGTGCAGGACGCTGCATTTGAAGATGCACATCTATTGTCTTCTGTAATGGAAGATAAAATGAGGTGTTATGGTTCACCCTCATATTGGGAAATACATACAATTATAGGTGAAAATGTATCTTTAAAACTGAAATAAGCTGGCAATAGTTTTAGTACATGACATCAAAATATATATATATTTCTTTGGGAAATTAAGTCCACTCACTGCAATTAATAGATACTGCACTTCCTGGATAGTTATTATTTGGTTTTATAAGGTTGGGGAAAAGGAGAGTGATAAAAATGTGATTTTAGTTAGGTTTTGGGGTTTGGCTTGAATTCTGCTGCAATAGTAGAGGATCCTCCAAATTTTTTAGTTTGCTACAGTTTCACTGTATTTCATATTATCTGAATCAATGAGACATTTTTGGATCTAGAATTTTTCCTGTAAAAATAATCATATGCAGACCTCAATCTCAACATGTAAATCCATGTTGAATCATAGTGAATGAACTTTCTGAGAAATAATCTGGATGGACAGAGTAATTAGCTTTGGAATTTGGATTGTGTTAATATTGATTATTTTTGGCTTGAAGGATATCAAAACCAGATATAATGGCATGATTTAGTATTTTAGAAATAAAGTTGTTAAAATGAATGAGTTGTTTTAGTTAACCCAATTTAATTCCTCTGACTGGATCACTTTAAGATCATGACCAATCTACTCTTCCATAGATACCCCCACTTGGCTGTGATACTTTAATAACATAGTTGTGCCAGGAAACTATTTACCTTTATCCCTCCAGCCATTAACTACTTATATCATTAAAAGGAAGCTTGTCATTATAGACCTAAATGCATAAAATATAATAAAGAATGAGTCAGAAATAATTTCATCATGAGTTTTTAGTGGAACAATTACATGCTTCCTACATTCCATCCTTTACTATGAAATGTCCCAGGAACGCTGGAAATCACAGCATTCTAACCAGCTTACTCACAGGCGCACAGTAAATAACATCCTGGCTGTAAGTAGCTCACAGTCCAGGTAAGGAGAGAACTATATAAGCAAATAACAAAATACAGTGTGATAAGCTGAACAAGACAGAGATCACCAAGGCACCATGGGAACATAGTGAGGGGCTTCTCACTCGGCTTTAGAGGGAAGGGCAGAGGTGAGGGAAGAGAGCATATTTAAGGATGGCTCCCCAGAGGCAGTGATATCTAGTATGTCTCTTTGCCATCTCGTTTTGTTTCTTCTAATCTATGTTTTATCTCCTTAAAAAAATGTCATAGGCATGAAAGAAGACTGTGTGTACACAGTAACACGTGGACATGGTCGTTTGAAAGGGGATGGAGACCACAAAACCTCTAGCTGTCCCCATCCAATTGGTTCCTTTTTTTCTTCTCTGTCAACTTCCTCCAACATTCTAGAATACATGGTAAGCAGTTCTGACCCGGAGGTGGCACACACAGACATTGCCAGTGGGAACAGAGAGAAGGGAACTACAGGGGCATAAACATAGAAGAGAGGTGCTGACTGGGTGGTAGTGAGCACTCTTCCTTGTATTTCCCCAGACACCCATGAATTAAGCTGAAAGCATCCTTCCCTAACACCTCTGCTGTTCTGTTTTCTTTTCTCCATGTCCCCTTGCACCCTTTGTCCTTGGCTTTATATCAGCTTTTCAAATACATTATTCAAGACTTCTCCATTGATCTAGATGCACTGGGATAGAATTTTCTTCACTGGCCTAGAATTCCAAGGACTAAAAATAACAATATTTTGGGCTCCTTTAACTACCAGTGTAGCCACCTAACTATGAAGACTCCATAGCCTAAAATCCTTTCATTTGGCTTAGCCTGAAAAACTGTAAAATCTGCTTATTCCTAAAGTATTCAGAAGAGGGAGTAACCTTTTTAGTTTTGTTCCAGAAAGAAAAGCAATTTAGGTCAAGAAATCAAGCACATTGGCAGACCTAACTTGACCTTTACCAACTCTTAAACCTGACCCAACTGGAACATGGAATTAAGTCTATTTCAGATCAGACTTGACCAAGCCTTTCACTGAATAGGTAAGAGTTTTGCTCTGGCAGTTAAGACTGTAGTTTCCTGGAAGGGGAGCTGCAGATTCTATGACTCTGGTCTTTGTTTCTAATGGTTGTCTGACTCTGTCCTAAGTTAACCCAGATTCAAGTTCAAATCAGGCTCCTACTTCCATAGTACATGTGGTAAATAGTGAATTTACAAGCAAAAAATCCATTTTCTTTATATTCTGCTTTTTGATTGTTTTCTTTAAAATGTTATCGTGCCAACCTCTATTCTCAAACTTCAGATATCTAAGGATGATGACCGAGAGGGATAGAGACTTTGGTTCTGTCAATACTTCCCCGGTTCCAGGACTGACATTTCCCAGAGTCTAAAACTACAGGAAAAACGATCCCATAAATGGATATGGAGGAGGTGGGTCTTGTGGTTCTGCAGAACTGGAGGAAGGCCATAAATTGAACTCCATGGGAATGGTGTCAAACACTGCTGGAGAGTGTCAAGGTTAGACTTTAGAGGAGACAAGCCACATATACTTGGTAAGCAGAATTTTGAGGATTTTCTTTTAAATTTTAAAATATGCAACCAAGTAAATACCTAACATAAAAATATTACACCAGTAATATTATAGCAGTTCTTTACACTGAAGGGACATGCTACCGTGGGGGCTATTAGTCACTACACGTTAGGAATCTGTGTGTGTGTCTCTCTCTCTCTTACACACACACACATACCCACACACATAGCCTTCTGTGCGAACAGAAATATTCTTTACACTGTGCACACATCAATGTGTGACTGTTGTTTACAGACACTGGTAGTTTGTCATCAGCCTCCAGGTCTACTCAGTTCATTCCCATCCCTGACACAACATCGCAGGAAGGCTGCTTTCCAGCAGTGGTTCCCTAGCAGCCCTCAGTGCTGACACGTCATTGGAGGGTGTGTCTGAGTGGTTCTTGTTCCCACTCTAGGGCAGTGGTAGCTCTTGTCCAGCTCTTTGTCCAGTGATGTGCATGAAGCACCTTGTCTTTATGTTCTAGCACTGCGTTTTTATTAAGGATAATTTTTCATGGATCCTAATGGAAATTCTTAGGCCAATGGAAGCAGGATGATAATGAGTCTTACTTTTTCTCATCATGTTATAACTGGAGGTAACAGGTGAGATGAGGTAGCATTGCTAAGTTGTTACTGGGAACAAAGTTAAAAATTTCCATAGTGCTGCTACTTAGCAGCTATGTACCCTTAGGCTAGTTACCTAAGTTCTCTGAAGCTCCATTTCCTCTGCTGTAACACAGGGCTAACTATACCTGTATCAAAATATTGATACGGGATGAAATGAGCAAGTATAAGCATGCCAAGCATAGTGCTTAGGTTATAGTAGGCACTCAGTAAAGGGACTATTGTAATCTTATTATAATTAACATTATAATGTTATATGTGTATATATACATAGATGTATATATGTATACATACATATGTGTGTATATTTAGTTCTAGCTTCCAAAAAAGGGGAAAGCATTATGTGTCTTTTAATTTATTGTAAATGTAATTGGTTGTCTTTAAAATGAAAGTCCCTGGGTCATAAAGACAAAGTTTAAAAAATATAGCTAATATATAGAAGTAATTATTAAGTTAAAAGTTACTGCACTTATTTTAATTATTTAAAAATGATTCTTAAAAGCCAATTATATACACTTCAGTCCAATCTATTACAAATGCAATTTTGGCATGACTATATTGGATTTCTGAAAATCTCTTAGAACCCCTTCATTTTGTTTGCATTTTGCATAGTGAACATTGACTTAATCTGAATAATTTTTCAATTATTTCCCAGAATTAAATGTTTATGACGCATGTGAAATGACCTCTATAATTCTGTCATTAAGTATAATAAATATCCATCGTCAACAGGATAGGGAACACAAAAATCAGGAAACTACATATTTGTGACACTCACTTAGGTATTTCTTTGTTGTAGATGATGCATTTATTCATATTATTTTGAGAATGTTTAATCTATAGAGGTGAAAGGAGGAAGAAAATGGACAAAAGAAAAAAAACAACAACAGCTAGAGAAGACAATAGAAGGTTCAATGTTTAGATTGGGATCTTTCTTCATATCAAGTGAGAGTTTTAGGAAACATTTCTAATCTTTTTCTGCCCTAAAGTCTAAACCACAAAATTTGAACCAAATTTAAAGGATGTCCATGGTTATCTGAAGAAGGAACAACTAAAACTGATAAAAATTTTAGTCCTTGATATTCAGGATCAATCATTCTAGATTCTCCTGTTACTCCTAGACAGAATGATTTGTGAAAAATGCAGAAATGCACTTTTTTTCCAGGCAGTATCCTTTTCCTAATTGCATTTACTATACAAATTAAATTAAACTTAGATAATCACATAAAGCTACTTCCTTTTTAAAAAAAACAAAGTAAACACTTATAATGAGTGCATATTCTCCTTTGATAACAGTCAAAACCAGGCAAATTGAGCACATAGAATAAAGTTTGGAGTATAACTTTGTATATCATGGTCATGTAAAATATTATAGATATCTTCAAATATATTACCTGATTATTGAAAGCTCTCTTTTAAACATTAATTTAATATATGCTGTCATTTGATAGAAAAATCAAATCAAAGAAATAGATTAGCATTCTAATCACTTGCCATTACCCAGTTATTCCAAGTTCTGATTGAGAAACTGCTTCCTTAAGGTCCCTACAAAAATATAGGGAGGGAAGAGGTGATTAGGGCTATTTCTTTGAAAATCAGGCACAGGAAACAAAACCAAAGTCAGTTAAATTTTAATAGGGATTAAATAAAGGGGCATGGGAGAAAAGGTGGAAGCTTGGGAAGCTCTTTTGAAAAGGTAGAGCTGAATAGGGACGCTCTGAAGAGCTAGAGATGTATCATAAGAAAGTTAATGCTTGAGGCAGTATCTCAAAATTGGAGGGAGCAAGGAAATAGTACAACTACTTGTATTTCTATTTTTTTCCTAGTTTTTTCCTTGGAATTCATATGAACATAATATAAAACTGCATTTTTTATTATCATTTTTCATTTGCTCTTTTACTTAGTATTCAGAATATATGAAACATAACTTTATTGTTGTAATAGACAAAGAAGTAGATATAATTAAAAGAATTAATACATCTATGGCAGAACTTGAGCTTACTAAAACATTTTTTATGCAACAAGTGCAGGTTTCAACTGTGCTCATATAGAATTAGTTGAAAAATTCACTTTAATATTTGTAGTTTGCTACTAAATTATACATTCAGAAAATACCGCTTTCTAGCAGCAACCCCAGTCTAGAGTATTCCTCTCCTCTGCCTTTACCATATTGTTTGTTTCAACCATGTAGCAAATAAGCATTCAGCCCATAAAAATGAAAATTAATATCTTTATGGGGAAAACCATTTTGTATAAATAATTTTGCCTCTACTTGCTCTTGAAAAAACATAGACCCATATTTATTTTTAGTGAAAAGCAGCTTGGATTCCTTTCTTTCTTGTCTTCTCTGTTAGCTGTTCCAGTGGTCAGGTTTGATAGTCTAAAGGTATATTTGGAGGAAAAGGTATGATCACGTTCAAGTCTTATATAGTGGCTCAGGAGACAGGGTGAGGGAATGAGGACATCATAAGAAGAGATAATTGTCTTAGCTCCCCAGAGGAAGAATCTGAGGTAGAGATTCTTGGCAAGTGATTTATTAAGAAAGGAAGTGAAGTAAGAAGGTCAGGACAGGGCAAGGCACTAAGCAAAGATGTGGATGCAGTAGAAGTCTGGTCTCAGCCTGATCTCACCCAGAACTCGGGGCACAAATGATACAAAGTTGTCACACCTTGAGGCAAGGGAGGTCTGGCTTTTATATCCTCCCATTAGTAGGTCATTGGCTGAGGGCAGCCTGGAGGGGTTTTGGGGGTTAGGGTGGGTTAACCTCCAGATGCCTCAGAGCCACGTGGCTCACTTTGGTGGAGGCCAATTCTTCTAAGGTGACAGCTGTAAGCCACTAACAGCCAGAGTTCAGAGTGGTTGGGGATGGTGCACCAGCCCTATGAAGGGAAGTCTAGACCAGCAGTAGCCATCTTCAGACCTGAGGGAACCTTTCCCATGGAAGAACAGCAAAGGTAAAGGGAGCCCAGGCCACTCACAGAACCATGGAGTTGTGGCCTCCATTCTGGGTTGTCTCTCAGAACTGTTTCCGATGTAAAAGAAAAATTCACCTGAGTTTTGAAAGATAAATTAATAAGAGAAAGACTTGAGCAGGATTAATATAAATGCCTTTTTAGAAATGTTAAGCATGACATTATGGTAGACCATCTACTCTGAAGAGATGTTTTTTTTTTTCGTGTTTTGTTTTTCCTTGGAAAAGTAAGACTACTAGTCTGTCAGTTTGTGGAGGCCAAGTGCTTACACATATTTTCTTTCTATCCCCAGTATTTGAGCCTAGCACCTGGTACACTCTCAATAAATGTGGGGTGAATAAATGATATTCTAAGTTGCAGTTGATTTATCAGTTTAATTTCTTAGGTTTTTATAGCTCTTGATTATTTAAATTTTAAAATACTATTCATAGTATACCTGAAATTTATATAATGTTATAAACCAATGTCATGTCAATAAAAAAATACTTCATTTCCAAAACCTATTTTTGCAAAAAGCAATATAATTATGTTTACTTAATGATACACATCTGGATGAACTCATCTTGATGTTTCCAAATGTGAAAAAAGCATACCTATAGTGACAAATTTATTTGCTTTACATTTGGTCTTCTGATATTGTATAGTTACCGGAAAGAACTAAAAACTCAAGACTGTTTTCTTTCTGAAGAACTCTGAATATATGATGGAAGGATGCTGAATTGAAATTGCACTTTTTAAGGCTACCATTTTCACATGCAAAATCACCAAATTCATTTATTTTTTTCTTATAGCTCAGATCTAAAGCAAATTTCAATTCAGCAAATGTTCTTTGCCCCTATAAGGTTGCGTAATTTCTTACTGAGCAGAACTTCCTTATA